GGCCCTAGTGGCCCGCGCGGCCCGCCCCCCGCACCCGCCCGCTCAGAGCGTTCTCCTTCAACGCCCGTCCAGGGACTTCGCCTTGGCCTCGCCAACTCTCGACTGGTCGGGCCGATGACCAGGCTGGCCCTGGGCACTCACCGTAAATGGGCCGGAGGCGCCTGTCGTTAGGGTCCTGCACATGGCCCCGCGTCGCCATGATGACAAGCGCAGAACCGCAGTGCGCACGCGCTGGGCAGGCCCCCGGGAAGGGGCTGTTAAAGGGCCAGCGTCGATCTCGCTCGACTATCGCGATAGTCGAGGGTCTGCGACTGAGAGCGCCTGCGCACGAAAAAGACTTCTCCCCCCGCCACCGCTACCACCGCCCACTCCCCACTTTACTCGGACTTTCGTACAGGAGCTTTGCTAGGCGTTGTTCCAGGCATAATGCTGGTGGGGTAAGCGGTCTACAGAGGCAGCTGTTGTTAATGAAATTCTTTCCAGGGCGCCCACCGAGGAGCAAAGAGAGGAATGGTAAAAAACTCTCTGAAAAAATTAGGAACCCGGCGTAGTGGCGCGCTCCATTAATCTCAGCACTCTGAGAGGCTGAGGCAGGAGGTTCGCAAATTCAAGTCCAGCCTCTCAATTTAGCCATTTAGCGACGATTTTCCTAAATTAAAAAAATAAAGTAAAAGAGCTGGGGATGTAGCTCAGTGTGAAGGTCCAGGGTTCAATCTCCAGTACCACAAAAGGGGGCGGGGGGGCCTACCCCTGCTTATCCTTTTGACCCTGTGTCGAGGAGCCAGTTAATCTTAATTTTGTTGAGAAACCAAGAACTCTGAGGAGATTGCCTCAGAGGAAAGGCCAGTCAGTCAAAAATTGCACCCCGCAAAACACTCCTCTCCTTGGGACTCAGCCAACTAAGAAGCCTACTAGACAAATAGTAATTATGACCCTAGGTACTATGTTGCAAGCTCTTTAAACACACGGTATTATCACATTTAATATTTGTAACACAACTAAATACTAGTATTACTTCCCTTTTTACAGATAGATTTATTCATACTGTAAGACCTAAAGTCTCACTTCCACTCCACGGAGCGTGAACAGCCAAAAAGGCCTCCACGATGCTGGGCCCTAACACCCAGCGAGGCTCCGGGAACACGACAGAGAACCGAGAAACCCAGGAAGGAACACACCAGCCTAGATGGTAAAAGACCTTTATTAGTCTGGCCAGACGGCACTCCCAGAGCCAGGTGGCTCAGAGAGGCAACTGCTCAGGGGCTGAGGTACTTTTTATAAGGTTTTTCTAAACAAAGAGTCAGGGAATTCACAGAACAAGACTGCAAACACGTTGCTTATCTTATGCAGGAAATGTTCTAGGGTCACCTTTTGTCAAACCATTTGCCCCTGGGCGGGCTGTTAACCAAGGTAGCAATTAGCATATGAAGAAGCACAGTCTGGCCTATTAGCATGGAGTCACTTTAGCCTATTCAAGTCTTACAATACAACACATAGTATCTGTGAGTTTAGCACACTTTTTTTGGTTTTATTTGTTTTGGTTCGGTTCAGTTCGGTTTGATATGGTTTTTAGTTTTCTGAGGTACCACTATGTAGTTTAGGCTGATTTTTTTTTTTTTTTTTTTTTTTTTTTTTTTTTTTTTTTTTTTTTTAACTCAGAACCTTGCGTTTGTGAGGCAGGTGCCACTAAACTAATCCCCGGTTCAGGTTGATCTTGAGTTTATTATGTAATCCAAACTGACCTCAAACTCGCAACAATCCTCCTGCCTCTTATAAGCAAATACCATCACACCTGGCTATTAGATTCTGAAAGGATATTTACAGACATTAAACTTCATCTCTTAATGGTATTTAGAGGCTGATTTACTTAAATCTTTAAACTACTTTTTACAGTTTTAATTGTTTATTTAAAACAATCACAAGTATTTTAGCAGCCATGAGTACACTCAGTACTCCTAACTTGGCTTCTATGACTGAGGGGTGGAGGGTTTGTTTGTTTGTTTTTCTGGTGTCTGGGGATCATGCCAGTGAGCTAAATCTCCAACCCTGATTGTTTTATTTTGAGACAGGATTCTGGTGGATCCTATACCAGAGAGACCTCCATCTACCCAAAGTCATACTAACCAATGACAGTGAAGGGCAGGAGTGTCAGGTAAGCTGGTCCCTGGATCACCGTGAGATGATGCAAGCAGTTCTGACCTCGCTGAGGTTGGGCAAGGACCGAGAAGGGTGGAGACATGGGATTTACTTTTGGTGCAGGTGAAAGAGATAGGTGAGTAACTACACTTTCAAGAAGTTCCCAGAAAGGAAAAATACAGCACCTTCAAGAGGGGAGATGGGAGACTCCAGGGACTGTCATTCAGCTCTGTTCTTAGGTTACTTTTGCTGGTGTAGCCCCAAGGGAATGCTAACGGCTTGACACCCAATTCCCCCTGAATGTGGCAAGGCCAGGATGTGCTATGGACCTCCTAAAAGAGGCCTCTAGAACCTCAGTTAGTGGGATAGATTTCCGTTCACCCTGAGACCGTTTAGCATCCAGGTGAGATAGATTGGCCTTTCTTCCCATTTCTACGTCTTGTCCTCACAGCCTAAGCTTGAAGCAGTGCCCCACTCTGGGCCTGTCCTTACCTGTTCCCTGCAGGGTAGCTTCCACACCCTGTGGCAGGCCTGAGTCACTGCAGGGAGCAAGTGCCATGACCCCTGAGTGAGCTCAGAAGCCCATCCTTGCTGCACACTTCAGAACTTGGAACTCTTGCAGGTGACATTATGCGGAGCGCTTGGCATGCAGCAGGCTTCCATTTTCTCAACTTAAACACAAAGGAGTACGCTCTTCATTTGATGGCAGATCTGCTCTGCTGCACTGGTATGGCGGCACAGGCCTGTAATGCCAGTACTTCAGAAGTCTGAGACAACAAGATTGCAAGTTCGAAGGGGTCAGGGATTTAGCTCAGTGGTTCTGCCACCTACCTCTAAATCACAAGGACCTGAGCTCAATCTCCAGTACGTGTAAATAAATAGGACCTGGGGATTTAGCTCAGTGGTTCTGGCGCCTGCCTCGCAAGCACAAGGATCCGAGTTCAATCCCCGGTACCAAAAAAAATAAAAAATATATAAATAAAATAAAGATTGGAAGTTCAAGCCTAACCTGGGCAATTTAGTGACTTAGCAAGATCCCATCTCAAAATAAAGTATTCTTTTTAAAAAATCAAAAAGGGTTGGAGATGTAGCTCAGTATGAAGGCCCTGAGTTCAATCTCCAGTACTAGAAAAAAGAAGAAAAAGATCCAGAAGAGAGAGAGAAAGATCAAAAGAAAGGAGAAACCCTCTTCCTAAAGAACAGTGAAGCCGGGTGTGGTGGCTCATGCCTGTAATCCCAGCACTTGGGAGGCTGAGGCAGGAGGATCACTATGAGTTTGAGACCAGCCTGGGTTACACAGTGAGTTCCAGGTCAGTCTCAACTACATAGTGAGACCCTGTCTCAAAAAACAAACAAACAAAAAACAAAACAAAGAACAGTGAAAAACATTAAAGAGCATTGAGACATGGGTGCATTGTGCCTGATGACCACAGAAGGGAAACCAAAGTAACTCAAATGTGGTGGTTCATGGTATCTCTGCCCAGTGCCTCTTCTGGTTTTTCTCATCCGTCTTGATGAATATGTTCTACTACCTAACCCTAATCCTGCACAGACTAAACAGGACAGTGACATATTTCACAGACTTCACGGTTGATCTCCTGCTCTTTGGACAGTACAGTAAAGAGTGACTCTGGTTCTGAATCCACACAAATTTGGCTCCAAATCCAGTCTCTGACATTTGTTGGCTGTGATCCTAAGTGAGAGAGTAGATATCTCCATGCCTCCGTCTCTTGGTACTGGGGATCTAACTCAGGACCTTGTGCTTGTGAGGCAGGTGCAGCACCACTGTGCTAAGTCCCCGGCCCTATGCCTCAGTCTCTTCATTGGTAAAATGACAATAATAAAAGATCCTACTTCATAGAGTTACGTGAAGGGAAGACACAAAACAGGGAACAAAGCCCAGATTGGTAGCACATGCCTATAACCCCAGAACTCTGGGAGATGGAGACAGGAGGTTCGAGCTCATCTTGGGCAACTTAGTGAAACTATCTCATGATATGTGTGTGTGTGTGTGTGTGTGTGTGTGTGTGTGTGTGTGTGTGTGTGTGTGTATTTTTTCAGTATGGGGCAATCTGGTGGTCATTGTCCCCTGGTGGCCAAAATAGGCACTGCTAGCCAGGTGCACAGGTGTCTCTCCCCTTCCTTTGGAGGGTCCTTGCATTTGTGAAGCAGGCAGTGGAACCACTGAGCTAAATCCACTGCCCAATATTTTTTTTCTTTTTTTAAGATAAAAACATTAAAAAAAAAAAGCCAGGAACCGGGCATGGTGATGCACGCCTGTAATCCCAGTACTTGGGAGGCTGTGGCAGGAGGATTACTGTGAGTTCGAGACCAGCCTGGGCTACATAGTGAGTTCCAGGTCAGTCTCAAGTACATAGTGAGACCCTGTCTCAAAAAAAGAACAAAAAAAAAAAACAAGCCAGGTATGGTGGCCTGTGTTTCCAGCATTTAGGAGGCTGAAGCAGGAGGATCAGTGCAAGTTCAAGGTCAGCCTGGGCTACATAGTGAAATCCTGTCTCAAAGGGAAAAAAATGTAAAAATCATCTGATACTTTTTTTTTTTTTTTTTTGGTACTGGAGATCGAACTCGGGCCCTTGTGCTTGCGAGGCAGTTGCTGGAACCACTGAGCCAAATCCCTAGCCCTCATCTGATACTTATGGACAAATATACTCAAGTCTGTCATGGCATAAACAATAATTCAGAATCTTTTGGGGGGGCACTGGGTACTCAGGACCTCGCACTTTTGGAGCAGGTGCATTGCTGCTGAGCTAAATCCCCAGCCCCAGGAGTATTCCACAATATTTACTTAGCATACATAAAGACAAAATAGGCACAATTAAAGGTAGACAGAGATCAAAGCAGAGAAACACAGAACCTGGAATACTTGGGATTAAGTAGGTATGGGCTTGATCTGGCCAACAGTTCAAGGTGTGAATTATTTCCCCATCTGAAAGTGAGACAACAAGCTGGTGTGGTAGCATATGTCTGTAATCCCACCAGTCTGGAAGACTGAGGCAAGAGGATCACAAGTTTGAGGCCAGCCTGGGCAATTTAGTAATTTAGTGAGATCCTGTCTCAGAATTAAAAAAAAGGCCTAGGATGGAGCTCAGTGGGAAGTTTCACTTTCAATTGGATGGGAAGGGAGTGGAGACACCTATGCACCTGGCGAGCAGTACCTGTCTTCGCCACCAGGAGGCGCATGAATACCAGATCGCCCACATCATTTTCAATTTTCAGATAGGATGTCTCATTTTCTTGTTTAATAAAATAGAACAAATATGGTATTTTGTCAGCTATATTTTTATAGTTTTACACTACACTTTATTGAGGCATAATTTATAAAGCATGAAACTTATCTGTTGAAGTTTTGTTTTAAATTAGAAACCTCGGGCCAGGGATTTAGCTCTGGTTCCACCACCTGCCTTGCAAGCACAAGGTCCTGAGTTCAATCCCCAGTGCCAAAAAAAAAAAAAAATTAGAAATGTCGCCGGGCGTGGTGGTGCATGCCTGTAATCCCAGCACTTGGGAGGCTGAGACAGGAGGATCACTATTGAGTTCGAGACTAGCCTGAGCTACATAGTTTCAGGTTAGTCTCAACTACCTAGTGAGACCCTGTCTCAAAAAGAAAAAAAACACTAAATAAATAAATTAGAAATGTCCTGACAACTTCAACCTCAAGCTTGGAGGTCCCTGAGCATCCTAAGCATCCTAGAGGAATAAAACTTCCTTAAAGGATGCCATACTATGCACATGCTTTTGTAAGCTGCTTTTTCACCTACCACTTGGATAAATATTTCCTAAGCACACTTTGCAGAAGTTGTACTGATCTCTGCTCTCCTCAGCAGCAGGTAAAAAGGCCAGTTTTGGGCCAGGGATTTAGCTCAGTGGTGCCACTGCCTGCTGTGCAAGTGCAAAGTCCCAAGTTCGATCCCCGGTATCAAAAAAAAAAAGAAACCCACAAACATCCCATTTCCTGTGGAAATATTGTGTGTTCTCAAATTTTTATGTCTTTAGCAATTTCATAGTGAAAAAAACTCAGTGTATCTCAGTGTAGGTCTAATTCATATTTCTAAGGTATTTAGCAACTTTTAATGTATTTAAGACACTTGTATTTCTTTGATCAAGCTGATCGTGTCCTTTGGTCATCTTTTTTCAAGCTGTTAGTATTTTTTCATTCATTCATTCATTCATTCATTCATTTATTTATTTTGAGACAGGGTCTCACTATGTAGTTGAGACTGACCTGAACTCACTATGTAGCCCAGACTGGTCTTGAACTCACAGTGATCCTCCTGCCTCAGCCTCCTGAGTGCTGGGATTACAGGTGTGCACCACCACGCCCAGCTTTTTTCATTAATTTATAGTCATTCCTTTTTACATTAAAAAAAATTAGCCCCATGCCATAAATATGTGATTGAATTTTTTTTTCAGGATTTCTTTTTTTTTTTTTTCTCATTGAGTTTATTGGTACTTTTTAGGTATACAGTACAGTTACACTCATCATTGGGACCTTGTACCTTTACATGACAAGTCTTTGTTCTCATTTTTTCCCCTTATCCCTGCCCTCCCTTCAACCCTCCTCCCTTCCCTATTTACAAATACATTTTTTCCATTTTTTCATTTTCTCATGTTTTTATTTCCTTTTCCCTTATTACCTTTCCCCTACCATTCCCATTTCCCCTACACCTTTAGCCCTTTTCTTCCTATTTCACATTGTCAATTATATCATTAGGATCTTATGTACCTTTATAGTTTTTCACACCAGAGAAACTATTCGGTATTTATACATGTGTGACTTATTTATTTCACTTGTGTATAATTTGCATTGTGACTTTGGGAATGTTTTTTTGTTTTATTTTTGTTCTTTTGGTTTCAGGGGGTTGGTGTGTGTTTTATTTGTTTGTTTGTTGAAATAGGGTCTCATAATGTAGTTCAGACTGGCCTCAAACTCAGGCATTTTCCTGCCTCAGCTTCTGGAGGGCTGGGATTATAGGTACATGCCATCCTATCTGGCTT